TTGGATATTTTTTTAAACTGTGGATATTCATACTACACACATGTGTGGTGACAGTTCAGTCAAAGTATCTTTGTAAGTAGGTGTTAAAAAGAGATGATTGTTAACTCTGTAGCTGGAGAAACATCTGATACCTATGGTAATATACCTATTAATATTATAATAATAAACGTTTACGACACATTATAAAATAAGAAATGTATTATTTGGTTTAAAATTATATGCATCGGATTTATCCAATTGTGAGGTATTACTTAGAATAGATAATGTAAAATGTGCAATACCCTCATCTTAAATTACATTAAATTATTACAATAATTATAGATTAATATTAATCGTAGATACTCCTGTATCCCTCATACCAAATACATATTAATAACAAATTAAATATTTGTGATAGAATCAATCGAGCATAGCTAACCTGACAGTTTATTTATACTTACAAACAACGTTCCTACAATGGTCAATTCATATCTATTACCTAATTTACTGAACAAATGAATTCAATAAAACCCAACTTTATATCGACTTGATGCGTGGTCACCGATTTTTTACTGTTCTCAAAAAATGTTTGGAGCAAAGAACTCCTTTATTTCTCGAGGCCATTATTAATTGAGTAGGGAATTGTATAGCTACACCGTCAATGTTTTGTATATTCTATTTCCTGTTACTATGGTAAGAGAAATAACAATTGCCGTTAAAAGAATACCGACTGTTACTTATAAAAGTTACGTAAAATATTTTTGGCGTCCTGAAACTACTTTGTATTGGGGTTCGGTGGCCCTAATAGCTTTATATTATAAATAGCTGGAAGTCACGCAAGCAACTAATAACTGCAATAAAGGTATATAAAAGAGGGGTTTTGTGAAATTGTGTTAAAATATTTCTGATAGTTTTGAAGTTGGTTATATGAAATGCGTTATTTGCTATAACCAGCTTTTTATATATATATGTTTAAAGGTATAATTAAATCGTCAACAACTAGTGTTAATATTACACATTTGATAAAAAAAATATTCATATTATACATAAAAAAAATGTATACTAAAGGACAAGCAGATAAAAAAAACTATTTCAGTTGCTATTTTGTTGTAGGCTTCCTGTAATATTTAGTAGTTTCATTCTAATCGGTTCTCAAACAATAAACTTATAATCTATTGATATTTCGAATATCACTCGTACAAAATCGCGGGCACAGCTAATATTGTAAACCGCTTACTGGGTTTTTTATTATGTATCAAATTGTTGTATCTAATAAATACTATACCTAGTTAACAATAATGTATGCAGCTACCTCTATAATATTACTCATGCAGCATCCCACAATAGAATGATTCACACAGAATAATAGATTTATTATTATGTATAGTAATTCAAGATAAAACAGTTACTAATATAACTCAGAAAATATAATATTATGCTGACACAAATATAAGTTATTTATGAAGTTTGTCACCTAATAAAACATCCCAAGCATAAAACTACCAGGTACATAATTTTTTCACAACATCTTTTATTGTATAAGAAAATGTTATTTATTACATATTAGCGCCAAAATTGATTACTATAGTCGAAATTAAGACTAAATTGAAATCAAATTCGTAATATAGGCGTAGATTCAATCGAAAAATATTTCATGAATATAATAAACTGCCAGGTTGGACTTATGTACAGCCTATGCTGTATGTACCTACACTGAATTATAAGTAATGGTTACAATAGAATACAATATAACTAAATATTTAAATCAATTTGTATATGCAGTAATATGCACAAAATGCACATCATACAAACTTACTAAAAATTACTTTATAATTTAAATTATTCCTAAATTTTCAGAGCTATATGGGAACAGCACTATGTAGAGAATTGTTAAAAATTAATTTCCGTATTTGATGGGTACAGATGCTCTACAGCTTTTGGTGACATCTTGCAATACATGTAATATGTATTAACTAGGTACGATATTGTAGATTAGTACAGTGTGATAAACACTGTCACAATGGAAAGAAATGAATTCATACGTCGTTTATTCAAACTATATAACTTAACTATATATCTACATAATAATTCAGTTCATATGTACATTACATTATATTATAATGCGTATAAGACAAACTTTACTAGCGGACTCCTAGTTATTTTTTATGGAAGATCGTGTGAGTTCCCGAGAAATGAGAACCGTCTTGTCTAATGCTGTAGATATGTACGCTGACAGAGCACTCTGTGCGTGCGGAGTGAAAGATCAAAGGATGGTGCTGTAATCAGGTCACAGATCACATTGTGGCGAAATCATCAGAAATTAATCATGTTAGTTGAAACCTGATAACCTAAAGAAACCATTAAAAGAATACAATATCTAACAACACTACATAAAGTGGAAATTATCTAATTACTGATGTAATTTGATTTTACATAGAAGAATAATCGAATAACATTTTAAGATTAGGCTATTTTTATCATCTATATCTATACTTTAATGTCAGTTCTAATTAGATAATATTTTTTATAAAATTTCGTCTTTTTGGCATTTTGCCACAAACTATCTCTGTCGTATAAAAACTTGGGACGCCACCGGACGGTTGTGTTTGTTTATACAAATTGTAAGCCAGTTATACAGTGGACTACATGATGGCCTTTAATAGGTCTGGTGACGCCTTCAAAATTTATACTATCCGCAATGACTCGTGTAACCCACACTGGATTCCACAGTCCCATAGTGGAAAAGAATAATAATTTTGTTTAATCGTGTCCTACAAATGTATTTTTGAGTCAAGTGAAGGTATTTGTAGGAAAACAATAAATCATAATCATAAGTTATGATACAAGTAAAACTAGGTACAAATAAAATATGGTAAGTGTGCATAAAATGAACCTATTGAAATAGGTATTTACATTGAAACAGAGAAATAAACAATAGTCATGACCTAAAATTGGTAGGTACTGAGTAACAGCAGGTCATTGGTCTGCTCACTATAAAGATTAAAGCAATTTATTTGAATGGGTCGACGTTTAGATTAGATGAACGCTATAGAATTTCACCTCCTAGTTTAATTCCCTATGAGATCACATGCACAACAATAGCTCTTCAATTCGTTACTCGTGAACTCATGACATATAGCGACAGTCGCACGTGGGAGTGTAAATAGGCGGCCATGGCCTGAATTCACGAAAAATACTTGTTAGCTATGACTTTCATTACCTAATTGGTTTTGTTGGAAGGTATAACAGAATAACAGCTTTTTTTAGTGGATGATAATGGAATGATGCACCCGCCTGCGCTAACGGTTTACGTTACTTACCCCTGATATGGTAAATAGTACTCAAGCAGAACTTATTATGGGTATTACACAACTGTTATATTTTTTTTTCGTAAATACATAATAAACATAAATACCCTGACCGATACAAATAATCATACTCCTGACTACAAATGTTTGTTTCTACCGTGCGAGGAATAGAACTCGAGACCATAGGAAGTAAGGCGGTGTGCTAAACCATTGGACCATCGAGACTGTTAATTATTCAATCATTGTATAGACTCTAAAATTATATTTGTGTGATGAAAAATAACAAAGTTTAATTATAAATTTGGGTACTTTGAGAAATTCGGCATTTGATGTTAAGTTTATTTTACTGACATTTTACTGATAATGTAGAGCGCTGGAGGTATAAAATAGAAAATAAATGTCACTGAAGCGAGTTCAGCATATGTATGTGGGTGACTTTCGTTACCGATTCTTCCCCTATATTATACATATACATATACCGTACAGTAAAGAAAGTCATCAGATATAAGATGAGACTGGTTTATAAAATTAGTTATTATTAGCAACCAGCCCCGGCTTCGCATAAGCCCAATATTTGTTTAACTTTTAAACTGTTCTACATAATTTAGTAAGTAAAAACATCTTCGCAAATAATGGTTTATTTGAGAAGAAATTTGATTACTATAAAAGAAGGGTGTAGTGATTTAACATTAAAAGATAGACATATTATTACGTATGTTGTCGCGGACTTAGGAGAACTATTCCATCATACATACTTTAACCGTTTACGCAGTGCTTGCAGCTGAGGCACTTAAAATGAATACATTGTGCCACATTTTTCATTATTCCTCCGCTCCTAGTGGTTATACTATATGTAGCACTCGGTGATAATTTACCTTCCTAACAGTGAAAAAATTTTTAAAATCGGATCAGCAGATCCGGAGATTACTCCGAACAAACAGACATACAAACTTTACCAACTTATAATATTAGTATAAATAGATGTAGATAAATATTTTATTATAACCTATTTATACAATTAAAATAGTGTTAGTTGTATTTGATCGTTACCAATAAGTATTACCACTGTAGAGAAGATATTATTTTACTTAAAATATTGACATTTTCCTTTGCCAAGCAAATAAATTTAATCATTTACTTTCCATAGGAGTACGCGACCGCTTTATTTTATAAATAAGAGCAGTAGTAACAAGCATCCGGTCAATTGATCAATGACTTTGTACACTGAATGTCTTATAGCGTGGTCTTTTTTAAACGTCTCGGTATGATAAATAATATAATCTTTTTGTGATGGACAACACCAAAGTGGTAACCGTCTTCTAAGAGAATAGACGCGAAAGACATATACGAATAAACCATCAAAGGATAAACACATATCAATATTGCAATTTTTGGTTACTAACCCATAACATGACAACAATAAACAACTCTTCTGTCCCTTTCATCCGAGTTATTTAATTGATTTATAAGATATTGAGGAAGCAGTTCTAACAGTTAAAATTAGTGAAGACACTGAATGGCGAGAGTTTTCCTCTTCGTCGTCATTTTCCCTGGAATTTACTTTACTATCTAATGCCGAAATTTCATCATGGGCAACTGTATCTAACATTAAAATGACTTTGAAAAACTTTCATTTTCATTCTGATAAACAAATAATGATAGTATTATTGCGTATTGTATTATATTTTAATTATGTTTTCATTTTCATTGCAGATTCAATATGTTTCATACATCATAGTCTGTTAATTGAAGATAGTTTAGAAAAGTCATCAAAATGAAGCCGTGCGTGAACAAGAATCTCATAACGCTAAAATGCGTGCTCTTCTGTTTTCTCTCAGGTAATTTCATATTTGGAACACGGTAAGCAATACTAGATTTAGAATTTTAAATGAAAATAATATATAGTTCCTGTTTCTTTTGACCCATGAGGGAATGACGTTCATCGGGTAAATTGGTTTCAATGGGACCCGATTAATTAGGTACCTTTTATTTTATATTTAAAGCTGTATTTATTTTGTGTCATAACAATTTTAACTATAAAAATTCCAAGACAAAACTGATATAATGAAGAACCGCATTTGTTTCTCTTCAGTATGTATTTAATACCTAAAATATATTTAATAACAACTGTACCGATGTGGTCCATTCATGATAACCTCATTGCACACATTACGTAATTAGTAATAAACTTATTTGATATACATTTACGATAAAGTCAATTTTATTTTCACATGTAAGTATTAATCATAGGATAATTTGGGAGCCTTTGTTGAGCGGTCAGGGCTCAGGATGACTAAAGTCAAAATTGTCAAGGCGACCTTATTATTACTAATTTTACTAAACAAAAATTATCTCATAACACTAAACTTTACCTTTTCTTACAATAATGTCCTATTATATAATCTTATGACTTTAGCAAATAAATAATGGTGGATGTTTGTAATGTAGGTACGAGTATACGTAGGTAAGAAAGTTGTGACTGTCGCAAGTTTCCTTCTAAGGATCGTTGGACTTCACGATTAGATACAGAATTATTTAGTGACCGTTCACCTTATATGTAATGGTACTTGCTACTGCGTGTGCCATATTCCACACGGATTCGTCCATAGCCAGTTACCTACTGAGAATAAGGATGAATGAAACATTGATACAAAGTATATCTACATCTTTACACGTATCTGATCGATAGTCTTGGTGTATACCAAAAACTTTCTATAATGTGTGCCAACTTCATTATAATCGACGGTGATACTGAATAAAAATATTTACTAAATATTTCTTACGACCAAACAAAAATATACAAATGATGTAGGTACCTACATATTGTTGGTTATAAAAATATTTTGTATTCATCACAATTTCTTATGACAATATTGTCTGTAGTTTGGACATAGAATGTTTTTCTGAAGTGTGAACGCTACTTTAGAATTGAATATGATGGGATCATGATGTTTATCATCTATTTTGCTAAAATTAGGCACATAGTAGGTGGAAACTCAAACAATGATAATATTTCGACATTTCTAGTCTATGCAATATCAGAAATTCTTACCTAGCATGTAAATATGTAGCATTTATATTTACTTGAGCTACATATTATTACAATATATTGTACGTGCAGGTATCGGCTGTATATTTCCTTTTCTGCCGCCCCATATGCTGTCACTGGGTTTGGACAGAGGAGAAGCCCGCTTGATATCTGCTGTAGCACCATGTATCGCCCTACTCGGTCCAGCGTTATTGGGACCACTTATTGATAAGTAAGTACTTTTTTATTAAAATCTGTATAGTTAACTACCTAAACGTAAACCAGTGAAAGTGTCCATTTACTTCTAAAACTCAAAAGACAAAATCGTGGCATTCGACATTAATATTTACAAATGCCTGTACTATCATATATAGCAGGTATCTAAACATTGTAATAACTAGTTTACTGAAAAGTACCTAAATTGTGTTTTATTTCTATTGTAATAAAATTTCATATTAATTGTTTAGAATAGCAATAATAATATTACTACCTATATTATAATTTGTTTTATTTTTTCAAAATAGTCGTTGCATTCCAGATTGTCAGTGGGTCGCGGCTCAACTGGCGGTTCAGCGGGGCCGAGTGGTTCCGGATCGTTGCTGCGCATCGTCACCGCCATATGCTTCATACTGAGCGCTTTATTCTATACCCTTCTCTTAACTGTGCCTAATAGTCATCGTCATCCGGTAAATAAAATTTTGATAACCTTTGCAATTATTTTCTTTTAAATAGACATTAAATATGTTGTCTTAGGAAGATAAAAAATTGTCAGCGGATCTACCTATACATTTTGTTTTAAATTTAAATATACTAAACTACATATGCTATTCGGATATTTGCAATTTAATATTTTTTTTAAATTCTGATAAAAGGTCAATCTAAGATCGAAGAAATTATTATCACGAACTGTATCATGTATATTAATTATCTTATTTTTTATTTGGGCCGTATTTAGTAGGTATGTGTATGGAAACGTATGTTTATTTCCAAATAATGGAACATATTACATAAAATATTAGAGTGAATATCTTTTCATGTTAAGTTAATAAACAATCGCGATCGCAATTTATTATTTTAGGGTGGCACAAAAACTAACTATTCTGAACAGAATTTACGAAAAACATCATGTATTCTTACTGTGTTTGTGTGTAGGTGCGTCGACCGCAAGTATTGTTCATGTGTGACGAAGAGAGCGCTTACGTCATGCAGGAGGTGTGCAAGGAGGACATGCGATGCAACCGCTGGTCCGGCGAGAGGGTCTGTATACTTTTTATTTTTAACATATACACATAAACATTCAATTTCAGGGCCGTGTGACTCCGCCGAGCGAGCTTTGTTATTTAGCATTGAAACTGTTTGTTTTTATAAAGTGTATAGGTATCGCCTTTGGTCGTGCTCGTGCATCTCTGCTCATTCCCTACCACGCCCATGGCAATATATTAAAAAAGCTGGTTGTATTCTTATTTTGGAACCACTCCGTCTTCGAACCGTGAACCACCGTCATCTTGATTGAACGATGTTTTGCCCACTTTCTCCCCAGTGTGTAGGTCATACAAGTGGTTATCTTTGTGATACGAAAGCGTGTCTGGAATTGATGTTAAAACATTTGAATGTTTTACATTTTGTAGCTGGTATAATCATTAATCTTCTTCTACATATAAATATTAAATAGGGTACTTATTAAATCTATTTTTTATTAAACAAATTTTATGCTGCAAAGGTTTTTACCTAAATCTACAAATGTATAAAATACGTAAAATAAGAAAGTGCGAGCAGAACGAGATATGTGAAAAAAAAACATTCTCATACTAAAATACAAAAATATATTTTCTATTATAGATTGGCTGTGGGATGGACAGACTGACCCCTAAAAAAAATCAGAAATAGCTGAAGTCAATAATATAGGGCGATATTTTTAAGTAATTTTATTTTTTTTAACTTTGTAATATTTGATATCATCAAAAAATATTCTTTAATTATTTTTATAGACTGGCGTACTGGCAGTGGGCTCCTGTGAGTATGGATGCGCCGATCCAAATATGACCTGGGTGAAAAAACCTTTCACAGCCGACAATCCCGCCGGGACCACACTTAGTCCCATGTACAACAGCGTCGCTAATACTACTGTAATTTCTTTTTTTATTAATTTAACCATAGATAATAGAAAAAGTTACTTGTTATGTCATATCAAGTTTTTAAGAAAAAAATGTATGGTATATGAAAAGTATATTATATTTATAAAAAATAAATGTATAAAATATACTTTATCTAAATTACATAAAATCTGTTTAGTTATATAAAATATATAGAAAGTAAAGCGGTATGCTAAACCACAAAATCATCGAGGCCGTCAGATTGTATATATTCATATCTTATTGAAGAGTTTATTTTAATGAATGTAATTATCAACAGATGTTAATGGAAACAGGCAATGAAGATGAGTTGGACTATGAAGAGTTTCCACCCCACTTATGTTACAATGGCAAGTGTATGGTGTACATGCAGCACGAGGCGCGTCTGAGGCTGCCCCTGTCTCTGATCGCACCAGAACCACTCTCCGATAATGATACTGCCGACTCTGATTGGTGCACATACAAAACCAGTAAGTTGAGTACATTAATTGTTCATTATATAAACGAAAATATAATACTAGCTGCTCCTGCGATTTGTACTTAATTTACAAATGAAAACATGTTTTTATTTTTAAATTAACATATAAAAAACAAAAATATTATTAACGTACGAGGACCCGAACACGCGACCATCGCAAGTAAAGCGGTGTGCTAAACCGCCGGACATCTGAAGAGCTGTGTTACTTTAGATATGTAGAGTTAATACTGGATAAAAGTTTTTTTTTATAATGATTGATAATGATATGGTGCAGTGCAGTATAATAGGATGAGCATAAAAACAGGTCAGTTAACCCATCGTGAGGAATTTTTTAAGAGTTTCTGGAGGCCGTCCCTAATAATAATATGGACGGCGGCAAATGCCCCGTTGCATTAGAGAAAAGTATGTATGAAACAACAAAATGGAGAGGGATATTTCGTACTCATTTTTCTTCTTGTCTTTATTGTAATTGTTATTTATAAGGTGTATGTTTGAATATTCTGTACATTAGGGGAATAGTCACTTTTTGAAACCGTGTTTCCACTTTTGCCATATTGTACTATGTATATTTCCACATACCTACAACCAAATGTGGCGTAATTATGAAATGCAATTGCGGACAGTAAAAATTAGTTTGCATCTGCAATTCTCAAATGGTTCATAAAAAATCGCAAACACATACATTTAATCAGTTAGTATTAATAATTGTCACTAACAGCGTTACAGAATAAAATTTCTGATTTACGCACAAAAATCTGCCAACTTGTTTGCCATTCCAATCACTCAGTCAATCATGTATATGATATTCGATTTATATAACAGCATTTTATGACGTAATGTCGTGCAGGTGGTCCATCAAAGTGCACTGTGCCACCTCAACGTCTTGAAGATTTGGACAACAACTCCGAAGATTGCACGCCAGCAGTGCGGTGCCAGGTACTCGATCCGTACGACGAGCCGGATGGTGTACTCGCCAATGCGGAATGTCGTCTTGTAGACGGTGATCCTACATACACTTTCTCCACTTATTTTGTACTAAGGTATGTAAGTGTGAAATGGCAAGTAATGATTTGTTTTTTGCGCCGATTTTGATAGGTATCCTTTTTAATGTTGTTATATGTATATATAATATACATCATCATCTGCTTTTTCCTGATCCAATTTTTTGGGTCGGCGTAATATGTCTTTCTCTTCCATTCATCCCTGTTCGCAGTCATCTCGTTATTTACTCCCTTTCTTACCATATCATCTTTCACACAGTCCCTTTATAAACAAATAAAATATATAATAATGTGTATATAGTATACATTTTGGTTCTACAACAACAACAATAAAAAAGATTCCTATTGTGTATATCGCAATTTAGGTATCTATACAAATTATTTTGTGTAGTAACAAAACTGATGAAACAATTTTAACATTTGTGCCAAGAGTAACTATCGATATTTGAAAATATTTATCATACCTTTTATACTAAATTGGTCAATCGACTTAGATTATTGCAGATTAATTTTAAACTTCCAGTTTGATTGGAGAGCGATTTTAATATTCTGAGGATTCTTGAGTCTAATTTGAAGATTTGGTTTTAGAGTATTAGCGGACATATGGCCAACAGCGGGACTGGCTTTACTGGGCGCCGCTTGTGTAATCGCAACACGTGAGACGTCACTGGGTCGTGGGGACGTTGGACGTCAGCTTGCCTTCGGTACCCTTGGCCTCGCTATCTTTCCGCCATTGGCAGGCTTTGCCGCCGAAAGGATGCCCGACACACCCTACGTTGTGCCATTTACACTTCACGCTGTTTTTATGCTGATAGGAGCTCTCATTCTGCTTGTTGACAAGTAAGTAAGGAATAGCATTACAGACATTACATATAAATTCGACCAAGACGAGATATTTATATTCATACTAACTTTAAACCGCGGCGCTGTCGGTGTGTAGATTGTTATATACCTATATCATATTTTTTCAAGCTGGTTAATAATATTTAGCGTTTCTTCTATATAAAAATTCATACAAATCATCATAATGAAAAAAGTTAATATTTATGTAAATTTTGGTAGATGTCCAATCTTTTGCTTACAACCGGTTATAATATAACTTTATTATAATACTAGCTGTGCCCGCGATTTCACCCGTGTAATATTTATAGGCTATGTGTTATTCTAATGTATGAGCTATAGATATTATTGTAATGTTTCATTAAAATCCATCAATAGCTTTTGCGTGAAAGTGTCACAAACATCCATCCACACTTATAGACTACTTGAATTTTAGGACTAATATTATGAACGTGCATAATATTAGTCCTAAAATTCAAGACAAGATTACGGTATCTACTTTAAAGGGCTGAAAATTCATACTAAAGTTAAAGGGCAAAAGAATGTTATTTTATTGTGTTCAATAACTAATTAACTGACATGTTATATATCTCCTTTTTTTTTTAAACACAGACACATGCCGTTATCGACACCTGAGTGGTGGTGGCACACGGCGACTGGTGCGCTCGCGCTGCCCATGAATGCCGTCCGCAGGTACGGCGCGGAAACCGCCGCTGTCTTCGCCGTGGTTGTACTCCTCGGCACGCTCTGGAGCGGGATCGACTCTTATCTGCCCTGGTGACTATAAATTGATAATTGATTTTACATATTTTTTTATTATGGATGATACTGGAATGGTGCACCCGCCTGCGCTAATGGTTTACGCTGGTTGCTGTTGTACGCTGGCACCAGATAAAGATGATAAGATGACCATGAGGTCAGGTTTCCAGGGGCAACCGCGTGTAGGGCAACCTGACATAGTACATTGCTATTGCAATCCTTACTAATATTATAAATGCGAAAGTAACTCTGTCTGTCTGTCTGTCTCGCTTTCACGCAAATACTACTGAACCGATTTAAATAAAATTTGGTACACAGATAGTCTAGATCCTGAGAAAGGACATAGGCAACTTTTTAATGCGAAAAAGAGTTGTAAGGGGTTGAAATTGGGGATGAAAGATTGTATGGAATAATCGTCATTTTTGAAGCTAGAAGCTTGAAACGTATTATTGAGGCTGCTAATTAAATATAAATATATATGACATACAAAGCTTTTAAAAATGTTACCCTTAAGGGGGTTAAATAAATTAGGGGATAATTTTTTTATGTAAATTCGTTATTATTGAAGCTAGAAGATTGAAACTTATTTTCGAGGCTGTTGATTAAATATAAATAAATATGACATACTAAGTTTGTAAAAATCTTACCCTTAGGGGGTAAAATAAAATAGGGGATGAAAGTTTTTATGTAAATTCGTCATTTTTGAAGCCAAAAGCTTGAAACTTATTTTTGAGGCTGTCGATTAAATATAAATGAATATGACATTCAAAGTTTGTAAAATATTACCCTTAAGGGCGTAAAATAAAATAGGGGATGAAAGATTTTAGGTAAATTCGTCATTTTTGAAGCTAGATCTATGAAACTTTTTCCATTGGCTTTTTTGGATTAGTTTATAAAATTGGGTATTTTACTAATATTATAAATGTGAAAGTAACTTTATCTGTCTGTCTGTCAGTCTCACTTGCACGCCAAAACTACTGAACCGTTTTAAATGAAATATGGAACACATAATCTAGACCCTGAGAATGGATATAGGGTATTTTTTAATGTGGAAAAGTGTTGTAAGGGGATTGAAAGGTGCAAGGTTGTATGGCTATATCGCCATTTTCAAAGCCTGAAACTGAGTTTTAGGCTGTTGATTAAATATAAATAAAGAAAAATGGGTCGTATGGAATTTAAAAGAGAGTTAAATGTTATATGTAGTTTATATGGATATATTGTCATTTTTAAAGCTAGAAGATTGAAGTTTAATTTTTAGCCTATTTATTAGATGTATATTAAGAACAGAGTTATAAGGGGTTGAAAGAGTTATGTATGTTACTTATGTACGGAGGTGTCGTCATTTTTGAAGATGAAACGATGAACTTTTTTATATGGCTTTTATTGCGTTAGGTAATTAAATATTTTTTTCATTATTTGGTCAAGGTCACTATTTTGCGCGGACGAAGTCGCGCGTACAGCTAGTAAGATTATAAGTCCACATTACTGACAATCCCCTTATGTGATGTGCATATCATATGAAAACACAGGAATTTTAGTTCAATTATTCCTTTTCTTCTGTTGTATAGTCCTATCTATCTAACATAGGTAATTAGTTAATCCTAAAGTGTGACTTTTGTGCTACATACTATCGTCCTTTATTCTAAATCCACCTTACGATATTACCAGGACTATAATGGAACTGAACAAAACGGCATCGGAGTTGAATACAACAACGTTGGATATGAACAGCACGGCGACACAAATTGGGTTAACGTTGACTGCTGGCGCGTTACCGGCCGTGCCAGCTCTACTGTGGGCAGAGGCTCTTGTCGACTACATCGGTCACTCCAACGTATTCATTACCGCCTTCACTTTCTACTGTTTGAGATACACTGGTAGGTAATAAACATTACATGTAATACTTGCCTACTTTTTTAATTAACTTTATAAACGACAATATTTTCAAATAGACTATATTTTTACTTGGATATATTTCGTGATATAATCTAACGTGTAAATTTAATGATTATAAACTATTGATTTAAAAATAAATAATTAAATAAAATATATAAAATGTAAGGAAATAGTTTCGTCTCTATATAGGTAACGTCTACGTACATATGTAGATATATGTAGGCAGTCTATGAATCAAGTAAACTTATGTCTAAGATGTACCCTGCAAGTGACAATGTGATAAATTAATAACAGACCATAGTAAATACTTATTTTACATTTAGTAATATTTAAAGCTGGATATGTACCTACGTACACAAAAAATAATGTTTTCAATTGTTTTTGGCTTTGGCTTTGGGACCATTAACCGTAATGATATAAATATATACTATGACAACAATACGTACTTCCTCAGGACTAGCGTACAGCACGGACTATTCGTGGGTGGTTGTTTGTGAGATCCTAGAGGTGTTCACGCTGAGCCTCGTATGGGTGACCGCAGTGTTGTACTTCAGACATCTTGTACCTCGCAAGTACACTGTCACCGGACAAGCTTTGCCTGTCATTGCACACTTCTGCATTGGTAAGTCTGATAAACCAATCTCGTCAAATCTATGCGTTAGGAAGAGAAATGAAATGGATGTATGTGATATGTGTGTATTTTATATATATAGCAAAAACTATATACCCTTTTTTTACGAAAATTGCGCGGATGGAGCAATAAAAAATTTCGAATGGCATGCTAACATTTCTTTTTATGGATAAAAATATATTAAATCAAAGTGAAAAACTGAATATTAAATTAATTATGGTCGAATTTCGACTACTGATCTCGAATTTCGATACTCGATCAGTAGAAATGAAATTAATATTTATTGCTTAAAATGTGGTACGTATGTGGTTTTTAAGGTCTTTAGAATTAGTTTCACACATTTTGTCATTTCTTACATGCAACAGACAAAACAGATATCAATTTTGGTTATTATTCGTTAGTCAATATTTTAATATTGACTAACGAATAATAACCAAAATTAATATATCCGAATAATACGTACATTATTTATAATATGAGTATGTCAATTTCGTATTAATGAAATATTTAAAATTATACATGTCAATGTTTTTAATTAAGTAAGTACTCCTGAACACTGTAGTAAGATTTGCTGATTAGCCATCTATGTAGTTCTTTTTGAATTTATTTCGACATAAATTTACAATTTCACTTGGCAATTTATTATATATTTTAATCGCCATGGCGTGACAGTTTGAGCTGCATAATGACGTCTTTATAGATGGTAATGATAGCAGTTGAGCTGTGTTATGGTCAGATAGTCCCAAAGGAAGAAGTTCCCCTATTTCTTGAGGGATGTTACTTATTATCAAATCTAAGCAAGACTTTTTTCTAGTTGGATTATTTATATGGAAGTTATAGTTATAGTTTTGTATCAGCCGATGTAGATTTTGTGTGACTTTTGTGAGACAGAGAGATACGTGCCTACTTTATGTAAGAAACGTTTCATTATGAATCTCAAAAAAACTGTATGTAAGCACAGTTACACGGTCGGAGCTTTTAGAATTAGAGCCATTAAAAGTTAAAATTCTGAAAGCAATTTCATTCAGCACTTCGTGAGATTTACGCAATGACACTAAATGTTACGGGTAGTTTACTACAATCTATCAGCGAAAACCACATTTCAATTTGTTAAGCCGTATCTGATATTGCTGTTGCAGTGCTGCCTTTTTGCGTATGGGCTATGCACACACACTACGTTACTCATACCGTTTTTTTTTTTGTTATTAACTGTATTGCATTTTATTTTATCTGTATATTTGTTTTGTATTATATTTTGTTTGACTTGGCTGATGTAATTGTATATCTATCTGTTTTTATTTTTGTTCTTATTATACAGTGTTTTGTGTGTGTGTGCCTTTAACGTGAATAATTTTTTTTATCTATCTATATTAGTGAGCACAAAAAACAGACCTAGAACTCTACTTTTTACAATTCAATATACAGGCATGGATCGTTTACAATTTTATTGTATGTATGATTTTGTTATGCAAGGCCGGTGTATCGGCGCGCTGGTGGGCGGTATGGTATCGGAGGCGCCGCCGCTGGAGTCGGTCCGCAGCGTGTACCGCGCGCTAGGCGTGGTGGCGCTGGTGGCAGCCGCCGTATACCTTGCGCTCTACCATCTACTTCTAGCACCGCGCTGCGCCGCGCGCCCTGTCGCACCACCCCACCATTTGTTGCAAGGTCTGTATATTTACTATTCCGTTCATTTATTGTTAATTTATTTAGTAAATTCCAATCCCAGCTTTTATCAAAATTTGTCATTTAAAAATTAGCATAAGTAATACAACAAATCTGATAGGTTAAATGCGTACCTACACAGAGCGCACTTCTTTGTAATTAAAATTTAGGTCTTTTATGAAAAGTTAATTTTTATCAATGTACCTAATAGGGTTCATGATTTCTCGAGCTTTTCAATTTCTCGGGTCTCGAGAATTCTCGAGGTTAATTTCTCGGGTCTTCTCGGGTTGTCGAGAAATTTACATTTACGTACGTTTTCTCGTATTATTTTGTTCTAATAACGTCAAAAAACTCAGTGGTTTCATTTGAGACGAAAACCACTGCATTTTTTGTTAAATATTAAATATAAATTTAACTATAAAATTAATTATAAAACCCTTATTGGATTGGTATATTTAAAAACATTATACATATTATGAATAAGCAATTTTTTTTTAAATACTGAAATATATAAGGTTACATATGAAATTAGCGTTTTGTCGTACTGGCCACTTTGATCTTAAATATCTCCTCTTTGGTTAGAAATTTCAATTTTAATTTATACGGCTATTCACTCATGCATTTGTTTTTCGAAAACCGTAATACATATGCTTGGTTTTTTCTTTGAGTCACTCTGCTTACAAAATAGAAAACTTAAAATATCGCGTCATTTACAAGTACGAGTACGAGTTCCGCCATGGCACTAGTGCTGCAGAAACGGCTCGAAGGATTAATGATGTGTATAGTGGTGGTGTCGCAAAAGAAAACACAATGCATTTTTGGTTGTAACTTTTTCGTTCTGGAAATTTCGACCTGCAAAACAATCCCCGTAGGCGGCTGGAGTCCAAGGTTGGTAATGAAGGATTGAAGGCAATTGTTATAGCAGATCCATCGCAAACCACGTCCGAGTTAGTTGCAGGTTGCGGTGTTAGTGACAAAACTGTATTAATCCACTTGTAGCAAATTGGGAGGGTGAAAAAGCTTAAAAGGTGGGTCCCTCATGAATTGAGTAGACAATTCGCGTTTCGATCTACAAACGCGCGTAGACTGCTGCGTTACATTAGTCAACCGGCATAATAATAAAGGGATTTTAAATCGAATCATTACCTGTGATGATGTGGATCTTGTATGATAATTGGAAACGCTCATCGCAATGGCTGAACCCTGCCAAGCGAAAATTGACCCAAAAAAAGTTACTTGCGAGCGTTTAGTGGACTAGTTCCGGTGTTGTTCACTTCAGCTTTCTTAAATCTGGCTAGATGATTACGGCAGATGTGTGTTGTCAGCAATTGAGAAACCATAATGGTAAAGCTAGCTGCTAAACAACCGAGGCTGGTCAATCGCCGTAGGCTACTGCTGCTTCAGGACAACGCTAGACCACACACTGCACAACATTTACCAAATAAGAAGAGATTCAATTGTAATGTCTGACTTTACAATTGCTCCCCGAATCTTGCTCCAACAGATTACCATTTTTTTCGAAATTTGGATAACTGATTGTGAAAAAACTCAAATCCGATGGGGCAGTCCAAAGTTCAAAGATTTTATTGATATGTCCAAATGTTCCCGTTCAAATGATTTTTCAGTAAAGGGATCTCAGTAAGGGGAATGAAGTACCTATGAGATGGCAAAAGTGCATAAATAGCAATGGTACATAGTTTGATTAAATACACATGTTATATTTAAAAAAAAAAAAACTTCAGGTTACTCCTTTACAAAACACCATTTTCATATGTTAGGACCTAATATTATTCAAACTTATATTTATAATGACAGCACCATTTTTGGCTGGTTATTTAGAAAAAATCTACCTTAAACTTGTAAACAAAAATAGTTTCTGTAAAACAAAAAAAAATACATGAAAGAAAACCTTAATATCTTAAATTATTGCGCCGCCACGCAATACAACAAACGGCAATTTAATTTCTATATAGGTACTTAATTTCTCGAGTTCTCGACTTTTCTCGAGCTTGATTTCCCGGGAACAAAACCCAACGATTTCCCCTAGAATGAACCCTAGTACCTAATAAAGTATTCATAATATCAGCTTTTGAGCTTGTTCCTACATTTCACATACCAGTAGATTTTTTCCTCTGCTAGCGCATCTTCGTGACTTGAGGGTAGTTATAATTATATAATTAGACTTTACGATTATAATAAATATAAAAAGAGAAAATAAGAGAGTAGAATAGAGTTTCGTGTTCATTCTTCTGAGCAAATGTTGTGCAGTAAAACATCGATAAATCGTCTTTAAAAGTCTATCTTAATATCTGTACCTACCTACTTCTATTTCTGCTGGAATATAACATTAAGATGTCGCAACAATATTATTAAAGTAGCGAATTCTAATAAAAAGGCATAGTAAGTCGGCCTCTAATTATTAAATGAGATACTCTGTTTAACTGAGGTTTATTTAATGGAAAGTCACTCAATGATAGAAATAATAACCATAATTAACTACGTTAGGCACGCTGCAGTAGAAATACTTGAAGTGCTATAAAAATAATGTCTAGGCCGCTATTTAGTGTTAACACGCACTTAAGTATTCCCTTCGTGAACGTGAATTTTCCAATGGCCTCGAAAGATCGATACGACCCTAAAAGGAAAAGGATGGTCTCATTACAAGATGTAGACGAAACTCTATATTATTACGTCATTGGATTTAGGGCGGAAGATATTTGTCCACTCTCTTGTCCGATATGTCTTAAGATTACTATATGTAAATTCTAATAATGATAGTAGATTGTTTCTCAAACTGGATAATTACAGTAGATACTTTTTGTTTTTTCTGCAATCAAATAGCGTCCTCGCGAGGACCAAGCTTTTATGAAATTAAAATATAAATAGAAATACCTAAGATAGGTCAACCGGCAAATTGTAAACTATTGCTTGTGGTTGGTGTGGTTTTACTTTTGGTTAATGACCGATCACATATGCCAATATGTAATCGGTTATTAACCAAAATAATACTTAAGCTTATATAATATGCGCAAAAAAGCAATATTCGTAATCGTAACCGTATCCTATACGGTAATCAATTACCAACATTCGAGCCGTATGCTTGCGTTATCTTTGTGGTATTAAAATACTGTCGCTTTTGCTTCTAAATTATTTTCGCTACATAATATGTATATTTATAAATGAATTTTATATCTAAGCTTGCACTGTGGATGGACAGCTAAATGCTAAAGGTATTGTGCCTAATTTTACCTATATGTGCGTCTCTCCGTCTTGGGCTGGATTTCTCAATCATTTTATATACAAATATTAATTTAATTAATAAATAAATAATCAATCTTCTAACCACAAAACCCTTATTTGGTTTAATTTTGTCGTGATTTAATTTGGCGGAAACGTAGACTATGTTATTACTCTATACAATTATGTAATTTTGCAGACCAAGAATATCGAGGCTAGAAGCTAATATCAAATATTTTCCGTCTGTTCTAATAGCATTTGGAATAGTACCTACTTTTACTGTGTTTATAATCTTCCACTGCTAATCGTAGTCGTTATTGAAAAATAAATTCGGTTAGTGTATCATGTCATTCAAAATTAACCATGATTTGTCTCCTATTAGATTACCTATATACTAGGTATATATTTAATGTTGATGATCAATTTATAAGTATGCGAATTCTGAACATAGTAATTTTTTTATTTGCAGGTTTAAACGCGAATGGAGCATCCAACGGCACCTATTCTCCGATGCGGGTCTACCACGAGGAACGTTCCAGGAAGGGGCATTTTCGTTATTAAAGTCTATTGTTGTTTGTTATTGTATTAGATATGTTGCCACAAATGGCAACAAAAATATAAGTACTCCCCTAGCATAATAATTTAGTCTATAGATTTAAGAATAAAATGCAGAATTGTGATATAAATGTGCTTTTTCACTAATGGCAGTCTGACTTCTGATATAAGTATTTATTTCTATTTTTTCATAATCAATTTCAAATTGTATTGTCTTAATTGTTTGCATTTGTATAATACATATACACATTTTTAATAAACGGAATATTTCACATCCGAACGGTATTTATATTTTCAACAAAAATAAATATAAATAATATATTTAGCAAAGCACGAGTAATGACTAGCTGACCCTGCCATGTGTTACTGTAGCACAGTAATTTTAATATGGAGGTCAATAAGAACTATCCTATGATAAGAAATTTTAAGAAAAAAATACACAACAAAATACAATAATCCATGTATTTTCTATGAAATAAAACCCAAATCTTTAGAAGATATGACAGTCTACGCTTAAATTTAGAACATCAAAATATGAGTTGTACAAATTTTTTATACACAGTTGTGTTCCAAATGGTACAACGGTTAGCAAAACCACTATTTTAAAAATCACAATGTGTATATTCAAATTTTATATCTTATATATATTGGCTATTATTAAACTAAAAAGTATACTTACATTACATAAAGTAACCTCTCTAGTAAGTAAATCAGTTCACACAATTACAGTGTATGGATGGGCAATATCTGTGATTTGAATAGACATATTCTACTTAATTGTTATGTTGGTTATGAAATGATATCTCAATATATATATATTGCTTGCCAATTGTTACAACATTTACAGGGATCTGAGTAACAAAACTTTAAAAGTATACCTCAATTACTATAAAACATTTCATTATTTACCAATTTTGTTATATCATAATGGATTTATAATTAATTACGTTTATACTCCAGAAATCAATAGAGTAGAACAGTATTAATAAATTATTACAAATTTAGCGTGGAGTGACGGAGGCAGAAAACACACTTCCATTATTTCTTATTCATACTGAAAACAATATAACACACCAGAGTAAGAGAAAGAAAATTCATAATGAAACTAGACAATACATACCTACTTAAAGAGCTCTGTCCAGCATGGTAATAGTACGTTAATAACTTATATGTTCTCTTCTACGACGGACAACATAATACATATTACATACTTCTACGTAAGACTGAAAAACCATGCTTTCTGGAATCCGCTTGTTATCACGGTGAAACAAGAAATAATGTGAAAGTATGTAAATAGAAACACAGTTTAAATTTCTTATGATTAAACATCCTACTTAATCTTTCGGTAATATTGAAATTATTGAAACATTTATATCCGACTCGATCACAGCAATGAAGCGTTACTGCGTTTCATTTACAAGAATTATACGATAAAGTACAAAATTGGTAAAATAGATGGAAATGTAAAAAAAAATACATATGAAACTAGAGATTCAATTCAATATTTAGCTGCTCATGCCGCTCAAAAATATTTACTTTTGTACCTATCTAATATAGATAAAAATCATGTCACAATTTTGGACAAATATTTTTTCATTAAAAATCACTACCTGAGTGTGTTTAACCAAATGAAAATAAATATAAACATCGTATTAACAATACATGGGGAAAACTAGTGAAGTATATAAAACAAACAGTCTCTATTTATTAAACCTCATTTTTATCATATAAGCAGGCCTTAATTTGTGCTTTATTACTTCAGATAGTTTAATATAATAAGCAACATTATACATTTAACAAAACACAGAATATATACGAATCTTGAGTGTTCATTGTAGGGTATCATTTTAGAACATGTGTGCGAATCATTTGTCATCCTAAGCGTCATTTAACTGCATATAGTAATTATATCCGTAATAAACATCAGCATATGTTAGCAAACGTTAGAAACTAATAAACAGACGCTACAACCAAGGAAAAATCTTCATTATCATACATTATCTTCATTATACTAATATGACGTATTGCTATATTAACCGTGTCTAAAAAAAATAAGCAATTATTTAGGTATTTACTGCACACCCTTTTCGTTATTTACATTGAAATCTGTCTAAATATTATTTTAGTATTAGCGAAATGTGATATTCTGGCAAAATCATTGTTGAGAGAGAGCTCTAAATTCAAGTAAAAAAATATTTTTAAATCTTACCCACTTAATGGCAAAATACGATGTTTTACTTCAATAATTAATCTTAAATTTATTTTACAATAGAATAGCATGTCTAATTTTAATAGGATACGGCGCAATTAGATTTGGCCTTAATTTGACAAATTTCGTTTAGTCATTCTGATGTCTATATACATAACAACATATCAAATATACAACTTGTCCTGTCTCACCTATCGGTTCACAGTCATAACCAAAGAGCTCAGAAGCATATATTCATGAATATTATATTGTAATTATATTTTGGTTTATCAATTTCGCTTATGGTTAATGCCGAGGAAAAAAATTATGCTTATGGCATATTGTGATACTTTGTAGAATCAAATTGATATTCCTGAACGTATTTAGGCATTATTAGCTATTATGACACCAGTATTAACAGTGGAATAAATGTTCATGGATATAGGTACATAAAGTTACCTATGGAGCAGCATCCTTTTAAGATAAATTAACATTTCTGTGAATTACATTGCTGAAAACAAAATTAAATTTAACAGGTAGAGTAGACTGTGTTTTATATTTGTAACCGGTTGACGGTAGTTACCGGTAAAAAATAGATGGATTAATAAAATGTACATGCTTAAATTTCACTTATATAACAATCATCTGTTATATGTACTTATTTGTTGTGACGGTGTATGTAATACATACATTATGTTAGTTTATTTACTGTCTATCTTAAATACTATTCATGGGCCGACTTTATGTATATCATATATGTATATCAAGGTATACAGTCAATAAAGTGATAGTGTTTTTATAACGTTACGCAGAGAAACATGAATAGAAGGTAACTAGAGTATACTGAATAAACTGTATTACTAACTGCTATATATATAAATCTACTTTATATATAGCAGTTAGTAAATTGGGTAATTGATAACTCACTAACATTGATTTGATTATAGGACTTCTTTTAAAAATAACCGTTGTTTATATACTAATTAAACAATCGATGTTTTAGTCTGAATTAAAAAAAATGCTTTAACAAAACGAAATATTTGCAAACTTAAGTGCACAAAAAAATACGTCGACTACGTACTCACAAGCAAAAAATAATTATACAATGGAATAATAAATATATATTTATCAATGAATACCTTGATATTTAAATATCACACAAAATTACAGATACCACAAGCTTACTTTTAGATCGTTCATTTGATTCACTTCTAAAAAAAATATAAAATCTAAAGATATATATTTAAATTTTTAGAGGCAAACTATTTTCAATACATGCATGATGACACTAAACATGACTGAAATCACGATTCCACGTAATTTTCTATGATAAGCTGATTCATATTTTAACATTTGTTTTTAAATTATAAGCGAGATTATATTTATTTTAGCAAAATTAAAAATATATCCAACGTGATAGATCGAACACTAGTCAAGAGCGCGTGACGTCACTTTTCGAAAACATATGTGAGTCATCTATTCTATCTGTCGTACAAAGTACTATACAAAGTTCTCATAAAGTTATTTCGCGCTATTTCTTAATGGAACTCCTATTGTTGATAAAACCTGATAAAAATGAATTAGTGTACTTCTATTGTGCTAGTAGAAAGTACAATCAACATGGAACAAGGATTCATCAAGGCAAATAGTTCAAAGCAAGAGCTATATACTATCTATGTACCTACTTCATTTCTTTATGGTAAATGAAGTAAATACATCAAAATAGTCTTGTCAGATATACATTACTGAATTATTAGATATAGCTGCTCGGTCTCGCGCTGCGAGTTCAATAACTAATTTGGTAGTATTGTGAAAAAAATAACTTGTTCGGCGTTTTTATTGTTGACATTGAGCGACCGAACTAAATCGATTCACATTGGGATTCATGATTATTGCATCAAAATCTTGAAATACTTTTAACAAACATAGAACATCTACTGTAAGTTGTAACTTGTTATATATTTACGAAAGGTTGACGTCATAGAGCGACGCCATCGCTATTCTAGCGTGTTGGCGTGAAATCTAAATTGTGTTTTTAAAAGGCAATCTTTATCCCAAAATCTTAAGTATTTTAAACAATATGAGTTAATTTGTATGAAAATAGATTGTAAGAACATTGTACAATGTTTTATTTAAAAAAAAATCAGTCATCATGCTTATTTCCATTTATGGTTAGCGTATTGGCAACGTTCTAAACGTTAATTATAGAACATATTTTACATAAATAAAAAAGAACATTATTTCTTAATTTTACAAACAATAAATAATTACATATATAAGCATTCACAAAAAAACTCGCTTTTAAAGTTTCCAAACTTTTTAACATTACAAACTAACTTTCACTGATTCTATGTAATTATGTACCATACTTAACACAAATTTGTGAAAGTTAACTTAAATGATGAATTAGTTGACCTGACAAACGTTGTTTTGCCATATACATAAATTATAGCAATTAAAAATAGGAGCTAATGTTAGAACGGTGAAAATTTTGGGTTGTACTTACGTATTTCTAATGCCGATTCATAAAAATATTATGTCCAAAAAATAAATAATAAAATTCTGGGGTGGACAACCCTTATCACACAGAAATATGGAAAATAGTTTACGTCCTATTCTCAAACTTATTGTTAGTGAATATACACGAAAAATCATAAGAATCGGTCAAGCCATATCGAATTAGTTTCGTTACGAACACTGTGACACGAGAACTTTATATAGTAGTTATGATTATAATAAAGCTACCTATGGTCCATACGTAAAAAACATGTTTCATGTATGTGGCTAGTGTTTTATACCAAATGATAAATAAATGCATATTTCAATCAACGGAAGAGGCTTCGCAATGCGAATTATACCGCGCGAAACTAAAAAATGTATACACTGCTATACACACTACAAAAAAAACAATGGAATATAAAAAATCGCCAGTAATCAAAACGTAATGATTAGGAATCAATGATTCCTTGCTCAGTAGGCGTTACTGTAATTTCTGTGAAGTGACGTTACAGTAGACGTTCTTAGCAGAATGATCGATTACAACTTCCTATTCAGAATGCCAACAGCCTGTTTGCTAGATGAATTTAGCTGTAACCTGTGTAAATCTTTAACTCATGCGGGGAAAAATAGCAGAAGTTAAATTCAAATGCGTGTGACTGTTTCGATTATGTTTGTAAAATACCTTTAGAACCATTATTATTTTTTTTAACCGTTAACACTTGGAATACCACTTGGATACCCGTTTTGTGGATGTGATATTATATGACGTCGAGTTCTGCACTGGCTGACGATCGTGTCGTGTCACAAACATATTCGTTCGACTAACTCTACTAGACACAACGTCTCAGTTTGTTACAATTCAATGGCCGTACCTGACCATTTGGTTGTTAAATCGTGTCTATTGTACAGACATTTTATAACTAAGCAACCTGTATGTTATTTCAATCTACTAATGCAGGTAATAACTATGTGATAATTGGATTATCAATGAAAATTAAATGTTAACCTACATGCACGCCACAACACAGAATGACCATTATCATTTGTTTATAATACTTTATTACGTTTGGGTATGTATACATGTAATATCCTATTTGAATAGCCATGAATATAAATTTCTTATACCTATTTATATATATCCTTTCTATTATGAGGCGACTAACTAAAACTAAATTATTTTTAAACACTATTATTTACAGTAATTTTCTATGTGCAATCTAAACTGTCCTTTCCATTATCGTCTTTTAACAAAGATTCAATCATTTCATCACTCATATCGGTATCCTGGAATTTTTCGTCACTAATTTCGTTGTCCTGTATTTTTCCGTCACATACTTCTGTACCTTGAACTTTCTGTATATTATCACCTTTGTTTTTGAAATTCTCATTATTTTTAATAGTTTTCTTTACTTGTATTTCCCCTCTTTTGTCTTTAGACTCTTCAACATTTACTACTTCTTCAACAGTACTTTTACTATTCTCATTTAATAATTCACTTTCATTACTTACATGTTTATCACTACCAGAAGTAACTTCCTTTAATGACGATTGAATACTTACATCTTTATCCAAAAAGAGTTCATCACATTTTAGTTTATCAAGTATTACACTATTTTTTTTTGGGTGATTATTTTTATTTTTATTATCGGTAAGCACTTGATCATCTTTTTCATTCTCTATATTATTTCCCACTTGATTAGACTGACTGTTGGCATCATCAATAGAAGAAATATTTGTAATAGTAGTATTAGTATTGGGGCTTTCCTTGCCTGTTAAAGCAAGAGAGTCTCTGTATACGTTTGTAAAATTGTCAGTTCTATTCTCCGCACTATCGTTATGTTCGCTACTACCGGCTCCAGTCAGGTCCACCTCTTGACCATCGTTACAATTTGCGTTAGAATCGACGGAATTTTCGTCGATAAAAATTGGATCATCATTTTCGTCTAAATTGGGCAATATTTCTACATCATCGTCATCTTCACTAACTTCACCTGCCGCTTTTTTAGTAAGGTATACTTTGAATTCCTTATTTAAGTTATCGCGAATTTCAATAAACCTGTTAGATGAAGTATTGAGTAACCGTTCTAAGGATCTATGGAGTGTTCTCATTTCACTTACAGTTCTTGTACGTAAGTACATTGATGTAGCTTCTTTTTTGATTTTGTGTAATTTAGACAAGGAATATTCTAAAGCATCTACTGAATCTAATAGATTGTATCGATACCATTCAACAGGTACTTGCATATCACATTCTCTAGATATTTGTCCAGATTTTTTCATTTTGGCAATTCTCGATATATTACGCTTTGAAATTTGAGTTGACCGAGAATTTCCTAAACGAGTGGATTTTGGAATAGGTGTCGAGGTCTGTGGACTCGATGTTGAGGCCGAAACTGCACTGAGCTTGGCCGAGTATGTCTGCATTTTAGGTAACGTCTTTGATCCAGGCGCATTTTCGGTAACAGCTACTATTGTAGCAGAGTATCCACCTGGCATATTTGGATTAGCATTAATAGCAAATATGCGCCCATCTGGTAAACGATACATTTTATTAGACGATAATGTTTGAGGGTCAACACGGAACTTTAATCCGCCAGTAGCGGCATTTACTGTTACATCATTTTCAGTCATTTGTATAATATTCTCAGATGATAAATCTGTAATATTTGTAGCACATGGTATTAGAGGTGGTGGATTAACATGTTTAGGTGGCACTGGAACAGGAGCAGGAGTTATACATTGGACATCATCATCTGTGTTGTCTTCCGTGACCTGTAGTAAATTTAATTTTAAATAAGATTCTTATTATATACCTTACATAAACGTAACATTTACCATGATAATATTATTACTGAGTTGCCGATATTTCGACGACTACATTTGTAACAACCACGAAAAAAGTAAATTTAGTGGATTACAATTTTTATAATTCCTTTTTAACAAGATACATAACCAACTGTATTTTTGCCACACGTAATCAATGAGTTATAAATATTTTGTTCATCTTCAATAACCTTACTATTATTATTAACATGGAGGTTTGTGGATGGATGTATGGAAGTTTGTTACTCTAACACGCAAAAACTATCTAACGGATTTTAATAAAACTTTACAACAATATTTAATAACATATAAGCGTACTTATTTTTAAAGGTAAAATTTTACGCGGCTGCAATCGCGTGCACAGTTACTGGTATATAATTATATTAAACTAAAAGTACATACTAACCTCACATAAAGGTTCTAAAGGAAAATCGGGTGTGCATACCACATCATCATCATTTGGAGGAGTGTTATTGTTAGTCATCGCAGCTACAGCATTCATGTCTAAACCCTAATAGAAGAAACACAAATAAAAATGGGCATGTACTATGTAAGCTGTTGTTGTTATTGTTGGAATCTGATTATTATACTACAATATAGAATGTTTTTAAGTTACTACACCTAAGCGCATACGGAGACTCTGTTTGCACAGGCGACATATTTCAACACAGCATAGGTTTTCGTAAAAATATTAATGAGCTGACTATCACTAAAATTTTATAAATTTTTGAGAATTACGGAAATGGATCATCAGGATCCGTTTCTGGTTTGTGGGCCATAAGTGCTATCAAATGATATCTTTAATATACTCATTAGACGAAATTAATTGTTTCTCTCTTGAAATACCAGCTTAAAGAGTGTGTATTTGTCGTTACCTTTTCGTGACTAAACAACTAAATGGTTATAATTCAGTTTGTCTTGAATAGATTGTATCACGACTGTGATAGTATTTATTATATGAACAGACACAGGCTATCTTTTGTGTAAAAAGAGTAGCAAAGTCGCGGCTTGTCACCTAATACATAATAATATAAACTAGGTATAACTATGCAAACTTTTTAATAAACTTTCAAATTAAATTACCTGTGTTAAACTTTCCAATGATAAATTAATGTTGTCATTGATAACCATGGTACTGAAATTGTTTCCATTATTAAAACCATTAAATTGACTATTCATCAATGAAGTCATTGACGTTTGAGGAGCTCTGGTTCTCATTCGTGGATAAGTGACAAATGGTTTTCTTTCATTGTTAAATCTTACTGGTGGCATCATATTAGCATTACATACCTGAAAATAGTATAAATCAAACACTATTCATTATATAGAGGGATGTATGGCGTGTGGCATTTTATAGACCATATTTATATTAGATTTTATTAGACTTATTAGATGTGAAGACATTTTTTTATAAGAATCGTTTATTAAATACCGAAAATAACATTTAAAAAATATACCTTTATCTTTTTCGGTATTGGTGGAGTACTTATCGGGGTTATCATTTTAGTACACCCAGGTGCTATAGGTATCGGATTTTTTATAAGCATCGGTTGTAATTTAGGGCTCGCTGGTCGCTTCACAGGTTTCTTTTCTTGTTTTATTTCATCAATATTGATCGAAGCAAATTTCTTTACCTACAATATAATATAAAGTCAATTGTCAAAATTGATTGATGTACTTTGATACTTAGCTTCAATATATTGTATCTTAAATCTATATATAATGTCAGATGAAATTTCTAGTTCCTTTTTTTGTAACTAAAAGATATAGTGAACAAACTGAATGCTATACAGTAGCAATCATCCACCATGTATTTAAAAAAATATAACATTAATGCTACCTATCACTGTATTTTATTGCCCTATGAAATACGAATTTTGAAGCTTACAAATCAAACACTTGATTTTATGGATAACCGGGATTACACTACATTCAATCCACACAGGACATTTAGGTCACTAAACCACATGATTTATTACTTTTTAAGCATTAATATTAATAGATTGTATCATAGTTAATATATTACCCGCGTCTTCGTTCGTCCATCCATAAAATTTTACTTTTTTTTACTAAACTAAGTACAAAATCGAAAATAAAAGTACCTTAGGACCTTCTTATACATTACTTATCTGCGGTTAAAATCGGTATAGCCATTTCAAAGATTAGCAAGAACAAACAGACAGACATCCAAAAACTTTTAAATAAATTTTTGATGTAGTATCCTATATACTTTCATCAATATTTAGTGAAAAGCTGTTAATTCGAAATTACAAACAGATACTTCAATTGTTACGTTACTTGTCAAGCATGTATCAAAACTGTACCCAAAGCTAGATACAAAAGACTTAAATTTATTCTATAGGCATATATGAAGCAGCGATTAATACGAATCGCCAAACAGGCCAATTATGGGATGATATGAGTGTACTTTTTGATGATATGAGTGCAATTTTTAAAAATACAAATATATTCTAAATAGACACTCTACATACCTGAATAGTAGGACCTATTTTAGTAATTGGTGGAGAAATATTTTTTTTAATAGTAACTTCCTGAATTTTCTTCTCTTCTCGTTTTCTTAGATTATCTGACTTTCGCTGTCTTATTTTATGTTTACAGCATTCTGCATGATCAATAGCACAGTCCTTTTGATACCCTTCTTTTAATTCCGGGTCTTCAGCATTGTAGGCAAACCTAAAACATCAGTCACAGTTATCACAGTCATATACTTTAAATCCTATTATTATTCACACCACACCAGCATAAATCGTTATTTTATATGTGGAAAATGTATTTTTTCTTTGTATATTGCGGTTAGTATGAAAAATACGGGTTTTACTGGCTGCGCTATCGGTACTCCGGCGGAGCACCAATGGATGATAAGATGAGCATGAGGTCAGGTCAGTTAGCCTATTGTGGCAAATTCAACAGGAATTAATCATAATGGTTTCCAGAGGTAGTCGCGTGGAGGTTAAATTGACATGGTACATTGGTTATTATTGAGTCTGCTATGTAGCGCAATTAACTATAATGATTAAATTCAGCACAACAATTTATATGCCGTGTTCCTCAGCCGTTTGGATTTCATTTTATTAATATTAGTGAAACATTTTTTTATACCACATTGATGGCAAATAAGCATATGGCCCATCTGATGGTAATTGAGCTCACCGAGCTTTTTGGACGCCAGCTTGACTTTTTCTTCGCGGTGACTTAGGTGATGAATTTGTAACCAAACAAACAACTAATCATAATATAATTATAATTTGGCATAAACATAGAGACAGTCTTCTGCCACATTCTATCTATGACTTGGTCCATTGATGTTAATTGCATGCAAAAATTAGTGTTAAATTAAATATTAATAGATTACTTGTTCTTCAGATCACAGTAACGTAAAAGAGCCCAGCACAATGCTCGAAGATCCCAAAGACATTTCGAGTTACACTTAAAACATTTCCAATCTTCTGTACTTTCAATTTCCTTTATTTTTGGCAGACCTAAATTACGTTTGATACATTTCTGAAAAGAAATAAAAATTGTAGAGAACAAGATATACAATATGTAAATAAAATATATATAGTCAGAGATACTATCAATTATAATTATTGACATCGAGGTAAACATTCAATCGTTAAGCTCAGTAACCTAGGGTTGAGGTACAATATACATAGAATATACATTACATTAGGTGAGCCAGCAGTTAGTTTGCAATTCTATTCAAATCTGGCTTTCGTAACTATTGTTTTATGTAAGTATTTGACTTGTGTAACTATTAAAGTATATTTATACAAGTATGTACATGTAGTCAAAAGTTAGTAAATTATGCACTTTTGACTACATATACATCAAAGAACAACATTAATTCTGATGTGAAATATTGAAAAGGTTATATTGCACAGTGGAAAAATATAGGCTGATAGTATAATGATGATATAAATTAGTGATGATTATATGGAATTGATTATATGAAACAATATTTTTTTTTTATAAATTGACATGTTCAGATTGATATCTGAACATATCAATTTACAGTTTTTCTAGGAGATAATGTCTTTTTGTTACATATGAAACCACTACAGACTATTATTAGTCTTAGATACTTACCGCACAAAACACATGTGGGCAGTTTGAACAGCAATATACTTGCCCACCTTGACCACACCATCGACAATAAAGTTCTGATCCATCATCACCTTTCTCAAACTCTCCGCTATTGTAAAAAGTATGACAAGTATGACACATGAGTGTCCTGAGCATAGGATGTGCCCGCATCCGAGACTCGTTGCGCGCCGAACATCCCAAATGGCGATCACAGGCAGTACAATGCAGACGCTGATGTTTTACTAGGTTCAAATCTGAAAACAAAGTAATGTGATATTTATGTATAATTATAGAATATTTATATAAAAACATGATCTTTGAAATACAATTATTTTTTTCTTTCTTTTAAAAAGAATAGTGAATTGCATATTAAAGAATTATACGACTTGTAACAACAACTCATATAATTTATTTTATAATATTTATAAATTTTTAAATAAATTACATTAATTACAAATTTTAATATAAAAATCCATTTGCAAGGGCGCGACGTGCTCCTTCGAAACCTTTCGTATTGTTTTGATTGAATTGATTTCCTATCAATGTCAGTCTGAAATCATTATATTATATGAAACAGAAGCTTTATACCTGTTTACGAAAATTGTGTGGACAGAGAAGTATCAAATTATGGACACTTTTAGTTTGATGTTGTATAGAGGAGTGCAGAATACATTATACTCCTTTGTTTGTCATAATACTCTGTTTTTTGTATTTTTTAATATGGTCGAATTTCAACCACTGGGGACCACATTGTAAACACACACACAACTTTGAGGTGCAAGTAGAGTAGCAAACCACTAACTAGCCTACAACACTTCTACAATCAGTTACAAATTTAATCTGTATAGTTTTTGTACTTTCTTAAAACCTATGCTGGTACCTTTATCAACAATAGCTATTTCTGACTTTCCTGTCCTCAGAGAGAAGATGGATTTTGATAAAAATATATGTGTTGAAACTGAACTGACTACTGGCAGCCCAATGATTATTATAAATACTTAATGCAGTTTATGGGTTTAGTAAGAATAAATAAATGATGAATCCCTAGAAATTACTTCTATTCTTGTGTTACATACATGCAGATTGTTTAGAAATAATAAGCATGGAGTAATATTGTGATGGCTAATAAGCTATCATTCTCAGTATTGTTAATTTACTTGTTTTCCCTAATGTATCTTTAATTTCCTACAAAACTTATTTACACATTATACATTTACCTGAATTAAATATTCATAATGGAACTTGTATTTACTATATATGTATACTGTATATTTTTTAAGTAATTGGAATAGCAAACAAGCTAATTGCCCATAACTGTCATCTACATTTGGTACTCCTCATGTGTTGCACATCCTACCATCACATCCTGTAATTTCATATATTCCTTTACTGCTATCATATGTTTTTACAGTATTTTGTATTTTGTACAAACCATTGTAGAATGATAAGAATTTATTAATAATGAACTTAAAACTAATGCAACTACTTATTAGAATGTATAACATTGGATATATATATAGCCTCTGGCTCAAATGTCTCTAAAATGTAAGCAAAGACAGTAATTCCTTCTGTAAACATGTTTACAGAAGGAAACACTGAAATAGCAATGATGAGAAAAATAGCTGATCCAGAGCTCATATTTTGATACTGATATCGTGTTCTGCTCAGTGAAGTGAGAAAATATATCTGTCCGATAAACTAGGTTGTCTGTAAGAAATTGCTTTGAGGGATAAGGCCACCTTTGTGAAAAATACACTAATTTTTATATTAAGTTCTGTTTGTAAATATTTTTTATGCACTATAAAGAGTATTATTATTATTATGCTGTGTAAATATGAGAGAATAAGATTATTTCCCTGTTTCTAAGTATTCTAGTTTCTTGTTTCTATTACAACATAGCTTCCTGATTTGTAACAGTTATTACAAAATGTTTACTACTTAACCTACTCAGATGTATAGTTTGACAGAAATACAATATGGACAAAAAATAGTACCTGTAAATTTTAACTTATAAAAAATTCTTTCTTCTTCAGAAATATCTTCTTCAAAGTCTTCATGTTTAGGTTCTGAAAAGGATAATTAATTTCATAAGTATACTCCAGCAATGCATTTAGCATTCAGAAAACATTAATTTAATACGAAAATATAAAAATGTACCAGGGAAAGGCGGGAATTTAACATCAGTATCAAGAACCGGCTTCTCAGGTTCAGATGAAGTGCCTTCAGTGTTGGCAATTTCACTCATCTTTTTTGTAGCTTCAGGGTATGTAATGTTCTATGTTTAAATTCAAATATTTTAGATAAATAAACAAATTTAATGATTCGCATAAGTGAAACAGTAACAAAATTATATTTTTTGCGAATTTAGATTATGAAGCTGTAGATCAGCCATTTTGGCATTTTTAACAAATTCATTCATTCTTTATTCTTCACTCATTCATTCAACAGGACAGCGAATAAAAAGTACGGTAGCCAAAAGGAAATACGGTAGAAAATTTTTAATTTCAAAATGGTTAGATAGATATAAAAAAATACTTAAACATTGAATGATCATTCTGTCTTTGGTTGGTGTAAAAGGAGAATTGCTATTACGTTATTATTATTTATACTGGTATAATATAGACTTTCTGGACAAGAAACATCAGATATAATACTAAAATTAATTACTTAAGTTCATCGTGGTTTTACTAATATAAAATATAGAAGAGAAATTGAAATATAAAATATATCTTCACAAGGTGTCTCTAATCTATAATTACAAAATGAATAGACGGTATGTATTGTTATAATTGTATTTTATTTTAAGCAGGACCGTTTAAGGACTGCTATTGAACTGCCCTGCGTAAGGATTGTTTCTTGTTCGGACATAGTAGCCTTTCTGAATTATGGAGAGTTTTAGGAAATTTTTCGATATGCCAATACTGTCATCTAGTAACACTGGGAGCTAGTCTGTCTCATCAGTCAGTCGAGTCCTGTTCCGAATTCAGTCTCGTAGCTTGTTGTTATATTTTTCATAATATTGTTTTAGATTTGTAGTATACTTTTATAAAGTGCAACTTATTGTATTTTTTAATGATGATGTTATTTAAAAATATTTAGTGACGTGTTACTAATGAAATGTATCGGGAAAGTTACTTGTTTTATCACCGGGAAAAATAAATACGATAACTCTAGCATTATTTTTGAGCGTTACATTTTTTACTGTACGCACTTATGTTTGTAATTAGGTAGCGAATTAAAATTTATAATTCTTTAAAGTATCTTTTGATAGTATCTGTGATACAACAGTTTTTATAAACAAAAATAATGACCGTAACGTACACGGGGGAAGTTGCAACCTGTAGAGGATTCGGCACTTTTCTGAAAGTACTAAATAAGTGAGTAATTAGTATTAAAGTTTCTTTAAAATTCTATAAACTGTCTGATATACCATTACAGCGATGGTATATTTTCATTACATTCATTAGGTACATATTAGGTATGTAAATTTTTGTGCTTATATTTATCACGACTTCTACTCTGAGCTCAGAGTCCAAACAAGCTTGTTTGGATAAAAAAGTTTAATAATAATATGTTTGTACTACTTTTAAACTAATAAAGGGTGCAAAATCCTTTCAAACAGTTACCCAAACTTTCTATTTCCAGTTGCTAAATATCATAAAGATTACTAGAAGACAACTGTTCTTTGTTTTATATTACTAACTAATAATGAGATCAGACCTAGTTAGAGTTTAATAATTGTTCTTCTTTTTAATTGGGTACATCAAAGAGCATTTATATAAAAAAAAATATTATTTACTTGTTTAATGTGGTTTGTCAGTGATGGTATAACATCATATTAATCATATTAGTCCTACACATTAGTCATTAGCCACATATGTGCCATGTATTTTTATCTCCACAGTTGTCCCTGGCGATACCACTCCTTTATTGTTATATTCTCAGTCATTATTTGGAGGTTTTTTTCCTCTTTAGGTTTTTTTTAAAGGATGATAATGGAATGGTGCACCTGCCTGCGCTAACGGTTTACGCTGGGTGGGGCACCAGTGGAGGATGATAGGATGAACATGTAGTCTGATCAGTTAGCCCAACATGACAAATTAACCAGGAATGTATCACAATAGTTTTCAGGGGGAACTGTGTGGAGGTCGATCTGACATCGGTTTAGTAGTCTTTTTGTTACTTTTTAAAGTATGTTTTTAGTGTTTATTCTTGAGGTTTTTAAGTAGTTTGATAAAGGTAGACATAATTTGTATCTGTGACTGTTTTTTTTGATATCTGTCCCCAAAATTTAACCAAATCCATCTTTTGTAACATAGGGACTTTTGTAACGTAGGGTAATTGATTAACAGATTACAGATATGTGCAACTACTGCTTTAGTCTGAAGTAGGGTTCATGATTTCTCGAGCTTCTCAATTTCTCGGGTCTCGAGAATTCTCGAGGTTAATTTCTCGGGTCTTCTTGGGTTGTCGAGAAATTTACATTTAGGTACGTTTTCTCATATTATTTGGTTCCAATAACATCAAAAAACTCAGTGGTTTCATTTGAGAGGAAAACCACTGCATTTTTTTTAAAATATTAAACATAAAATTTAACTATAAAATTAATTATAAAACTTAAATTGAGTAGGTATATTTAAAAACATTATACATATTATGAATAAGCAAAATTTTTTTTAAATACTGAAATATATAGGTTTTTACATATGAAATTAGCGTTTTGTCGTACTGGCCACTTTGATCTTAAATATCTCCTCTTTGGTCAGGAATTCCAATTTCAAATTTATACGGCTATTCACTCATGCATTTGTTTTTCGAAAATCGTAATACATATTGCTTGAATGGTGGGTCCCTCATGAATTGAGTAGACAATTCGCGTTTCGATCGACAAACGCGCGTAGACTGCTGCGTTACATTAGTCAATCGGCATAATAATAAAAGGATTTTAAATCGAATCATTACCTATGATGATGTGGATCTTGTATGATAATTGGAAACGCTCATCACAATGGCTAAACCCTGGCAAACCAACCTAATCCTGCCCCAAGCAAAAATTGACTCAAAAAAAGTTACTTGCGAGCGTTTAGTGGACTAGTTCCGGTGTTGTTCACTTCAGCTTTCTTAAATCTGGCCAGACGATTACGGCAGATGTGTGTTGTCAGCAATTGAGAAACCATAATGGAAAAGCTAGCTGCTAAACAACCGAGGCTGGTCAATCGCCGTAGGCCACTGCTGCTTCAGGACAACGCTAGACCACACACTGTACAACTGACATTTACCAGATTAGAAGAGATTCAATTGTAATATCTAAGACATCCACCGTACTCCCCGGACCTTGCTCCAACAGATTACCATTTTTTTTTCGAAATTTAGATGGGAAAAAATTCAAATCCGATGGGGCAGGCCAAAGTACCTTCAAAGATTTTATTGATATGTCCAAATGTTCCCGTTCAAATGTTTTTTTTCAGTAAAGGGATCAATCAGGTACTTCACCTATGGGATGGCAAAACTGCATAAATAGCAATGGTACATAGTTTGATTAAATACTTAAACATGTTATATTTTGAAAAAAAAAAATACTTCAGGTTACTCCCTTACAAAACACACCTTTCATATGTTAGGACCTAATATTATTCAGACTTATATTTATAATGACAGCACCATTTTTGGCTGGTTATTTAGAAAAAAATCTACCTTAAACTTGTAAACAAAAATAGTTTCTGTAAAACAAAAAAAAATACCTTAAAGAAAACCTTAATATTTTGAATTATTGCGCCACCACGCAACAAAACAAACGGCAATTTGATTTCTACATAGGTTCTTGATTTCTCGAGTTCTCGACTTTTCTCGAGCTTGATTTCCCGGAAATCCTCGAGAATTCCCGAGCATGAACCCTAGTCTGAAGGCACCACTAGGAGTATGAACCTTGACTAAGGGCAATGTAATTTAGATCCATGACGAAACAACAGTGATCAGAATAGTTACATAATATACTAATCTTTGACAAAAAATTGCTAAATTCTAAATTACTAAATTAATTTATTTCTTTCCACTAATTAAGTATGAGCCTCCTCTTTCCGCATCCATCAGGTTCTATTGTATTTTTTTTCACCGGGTGATAATTGAATGGTGCACCACTCGCCTGCGCTTATGGTAATTGTGGATGGGGCACCAGTGAAGGATGGTAGGTTGAAGGAGTTAGCTTAGCTCACCACTGGCGTCCCGCGTGAACCGTTAGCGCAGGCGGGTGGGTGCGCCATTTCATTATCATATAAAAAAATTGCCCCCTGTTACCAACAAGTCTCCAATTGTTATTGTTTAACCCATGCAACGTCGGGACGGACTGCTATTAGTATAAATAACTGGTGTAGGCGTGATAAAGCTAACAAGGTACATTTGCCTAAGCCGTCGAACCTTGTGTGTGTTTATTTCATCATAGGAAACTACCACGTCACAGTGAATGTTTACAAATCTGCTGACTTGTACTTCGTTTCTGACCTTGAAGAATAATATTTGTTAGTCCTTTTTCATGCGTATTAAAACTTGCAAAGTCACTATTTTGTGTTTTTTGACTTTCTTACAATGAATAAAAATTACACACATGAAAGTATTTTATTAGACATCGAACATTTTTTATGAATAAGTATTCAACTATGATTTATTTTTATTTGTGTGAGTTGTAGATGTCTTTGAAATAAAGTTCTATAAGGTTTCCATAGGTACATATTTCTTACACCAGAATTATTGAAAATCCCTTTTACGTTATTTTTAATTATAAAGCTATGTAGCTATGTGCATTAACAAAAATATACTTTGCATAAAATTTGTAATTTAACATTAATAATGAATTAATAACATTTTATGAAAACAAGCATTCTCTTAAACATTTGAATAATAAAAAAGATATATACCTATTTAATAAAAATGACGTATCTTCATAGGCAGTAATTAGGTACTGGGCCTAATATAATACAGTTTATAGCTACGTAGGTAAGTGTAATAACGCCATCTATCACCAACATTTTGTTAGGCCACTCCTTACAGGACATCCTGTAAATATGCCAGAGTTGCGTTGCTATTTACTATGCATGGTGCATTTACAATTTTACAAAAATAAGCACTACAAGCTTTCACGCAATAATATTAAATCCGTTCAGAAGTTCAGTTCTGTCACCCTTCCCAAATTGCATGGCTTACTTGACCATGCGCCAGCTGAGCTCCGTCACCCTTGGCGCCGCTAACCAACCACGCCACCCATGCGCCACAGCATGCAGTAATTATTTATATTTCGTAGAATTTGGATTATTTACATTGAGGATTTTTTAATGAAACTATCAATCTCTTTTTTTTTGTTTTAAAAATACAGCCGTCCGACATCTTAGTCACATTAATGTCTTGCCTCTATTTGTTACAGCAAATCATATTGCTTTATCTTTGTTTATCGTTGAATAACTGTGCTACAAATAATATAAAAAAAATATTAGAAATGTTTTTAGAAGGCCAGCTCAGGGATCTCCGTATGCAACCGAGATCTGTGAGCCTGCCGATTTTATTTTGTTAAGCAAGGTTGCCTTTGTGAGTGGCCAATCATTTTAAAATTAAGTTAAGGAAAACCATATTTAAATGAGCATCCTTGCGAACCATTTTTCTAGTAGTGTTTCACTTTTTTACATGTTGGAAGTAAAATATTTTTATACTACATATTGTAATTTTATACTGTCATTATCATTATTTTTCGAAATGTTCAAATATTAAATATAAATTGGTGGCTTCATAGTTGCTAGAATACATATACAGGTCATCAATCTGTTATACACATACTTATGCTAATAAATTTTAGTCACCTTAACCTATCTACAAATTATAATACGAGTTTTATTAATTACTAGCTGTACCCGCGACTTCGTCCGCGTGGAATTTTACTTTATTTTTCTAAAATAAAATAATGTTTCTAAAATAAAAGTAGCCTAAGTTACTACTTATTACATTAGCTACCTGCCAAAAAAAGTCCCGTCAAAATTGGCCCAGCCATTTCAGAGATTAGTCGGAACAAAAAGACAGACGGACAACAATTTAAAAAAAATGTTATTTTGGTGTATGTACCATATTTATATTCATATGCATGTAGTAAAAAACGGTTATTTTAATATTACAAACAGACACTCCAATTCTATTTATATGTATAGATGACGATACATCCATACAACCTTGCACATACCTTTTCATTTTAGTAGTTGAAAAGTTATGGTTATTTATTTGCCTACAATAAGTCTCAATCGTCGTGCTATGAATACTATTTATAATTATATTATTATTAGTCAAATATTACAATTTGAAATGGTGTATGTATTCACTTGTGTACAAATGAGTAATCAGT